TACCAGATCCCCCAAAACTCCCTTGGAGACCCTCTTGGAGAAGAGGGACATGGACTCCTATTTAGGAGAAGAGTTTTAGACATGCAGCACTAGAGAGAGAGAGAGAGGAGCTGAGAAGCTCAAAAGACGTCCCGGAGCTGGACCGGGACAGCCAGATGGAATGCGGGGGGAGTTGACCTTGGCTCCCCCCTTGCACTGCTGCCACAGTGGCAGCCTGAGAACAGGGCACAGAGGCCCTGCAGGAGCTTGAGTCTCCTGGAGATACCAGACCGTCACGAAGACCCCCTGTGTCTTCGTGATATGACCGTGGTGAAACAACCTTGTCTGGGGTGACGAAGCCCAAGGAAGACCCCTTTGCCTGCGTCAAGGGGGCCGAGGGAGGTTGGATATCTCCCTCCTGAGTGTTGGCAGAAAGCCAGCTATCAGCTGCTGCATGTGGAGAAGACAGAAAGAAACCTGCTGCCTCAGAAGATGCTGCTGCTTAAGGACTGGAAGGGATCTGTCCTTCTTTCCCTCCTGGACTTTTATTTGGAGGGGTGAAGAGATCTGATCCATTGTAAATACTATATGTCATGGTAGAGATAGTTGTGATCGTGTGTATAATGTGATATGGTATTTATTTGTACAGTCATTGTAATATATTCCCTTTCCCCCACTTTGAGTCTGGTGTGTTTTGTCTGGAAAAAACCCATCTCATATTGGGTTGAGATGTGGGAGGGGGGATGGAGCTAGGGAATTGGATTTTGGGGCTATCTCAAACCATGACAGTCACCCATCGCTGTCACAGGCACAACAGACACGACTTGGGGAAATTAACTCAATTTATGACCAGTCAAATCAGAGCAGGAGAATGAGAAATGAAACAAATCCTGAAAAAAACACTGAGCTTCACTTTGTCCCCGATTCCCTCCTTCCTTTCCCTTGGTGGCACAGGGGAGATGGGAATTGAGATTATGGTCAGTTCATCACATGTTTGTGGCTGTTGCTTCCCCCTCAGGGACAGAAGTCCTTCCCCTGCTTCATTGTGGGTCCCTTCCATGGGTTCAGTCCCCCGGGAACAGGCTGCTCCACCGTGGGTCCCCCACGGGGTCACAAGTCCTGCAGGAGCCTGTTCCGCGTGGGCTCCTCTCTCCGAGGCTCTGCAGGGGCTTCCCACGGGCTCTCGGCCTCCTTTGGGCACCCCCTGCTCTGGCGTGGGCTCCTCCCCAGGCTGCAGGGGGGGTGTCTCTGCTCCATCCTGGACTCATCCACAGGTCACAGGCCCTTCAGCTCAAGTTCACACCGAGTTCCAGCCTGTCCAGTGCAGCAGCAATTCCCGGGCCTCCTGCCAGTCCGGGCACATCGCCGGGGCTGTTGCCCAACGTTCCCAGGCACAGCACAGTGAGGTGATCAGAGCTGAGCAGCTCAGCAGCAGTGACAGCAACGAGCAGCCACTAAGGAGCACCAGATTCTGACACACAGCCAGGAGCTCCAGACAGCACCAGCAGCTGTAAATTCCAGCAGCACATCCCAATCCCACCTGTCAGGATCTCCAACACTCCCAGCCCCACACTGGACACCAACAAAGGCTGTTGTGGTTTCACCTCATCCAGCCCCCCAAGCCCCTCCCAGCCACTTCTCACTCCCCACCAGCAGGATCAGGGAGAGAACTGGGAGGGGAAAAGCTGGAAAACTCATGGGTTGACATAAAGACAGTTTAATAAGGACAAGCAAAACCTGCACACACAAGCAAAACAAGGAATTCATTCCCTGCTTCCCATGGTTGGGCAGGTGGTCAGCACCTCCAGGAGAGCAGGGCCCCATCCCACAGAACAGTGACTTGGGAAGACAAACTCCATCACTCCAAAGGTCCCCCCTTCCTCCTTCTCTCCCCCACCTTATATCCTGAGCATGATGTTGACACTATTGTCTGGTTCAAAGGTGTGGGGTGGAGTCCTCACTGTCTGGGTTGCCCATGTATTAGTCAGGCACAGGTGCAACTCAGTTCTTAACACAACAGAAGGAGAATTAAGGAATGACACTGCAAAGGTTATTGGTGTGACAGGGGTTAAATTAGGAAAACGACGGTAACTCATCAGTTTCTCTATTTGCCAAACTCCCCCAAACCTGTGCTAGGAAGAGATTAATTGGAAAACTTGAGGCAGAAATTAAATTTAAAAATGGGCACATTGAAATTGTAATTGCTGAGACTAAATATGTTGAAGCAGCAGCTCTTCTTGAGCAGGAAATAACTCCAGTTAGCAGCAACATCCCAAGGGAAGCTGAAGATGCAGTTGTTCCTATCATGTGGGCCAGTGGGATTCCATGAAAATCAGGAAAGGCAGCACCTGTAAGAATTACCCTTAAGCCAGAAGCTGTACTGATAAGGCAAAAGCAGAATCCTTTGAAATTAGAAAGCCAAGTTGGATTGGTTCCAGTAGCACACAAATTTGCTAAGCATGATTTGCTTGTAGACTGGGAATACAAGCACCCATAAAGAAAGCAAATGGAAAAGATTATTGATTAGGGCAGGACCTGAGAGAACTCCCTTAAATGATAACCTGTAATCATTTACAGTTTTAGATTTACAAGATGTCTTTTCCTGCATCCCCTTGAGCAAGGAAAGTCAAGAAATCTTTGTTTAGGAATGAGAAAATCCAGAAACTGTGAAGGAGGAGAAGAAGCCACCTGACTCCTCCCCGAGCCATGAACAGTTCATGAAGTGCCTTCCTGGGAATGGCAGGATGGTGTTGACTCTGGATTGCTCACTATGGACTTTGGTAAGACCATTAGATGAGCTTTTAAAAACAGACTGTAAGAATTTCCTCACCTGGACAGATGGTGCAAGAGCAGCCTTTAAGCAGCCAAAGCATTTCCTGATGAGAGCCCCGGCTCTGGGTCTGCCAGATCTCTCAAAACCATTTGAACTGTTTACCTGTGAGAGACAGAATGTTGCTCTGGGAGTGCTTGCACAATTTCCTGGGCATCAGTGAAGAGCCAAGGCCTATTCCAGCCAAAAACCCTGACTGGGAATTGTACACGATGGAAGCAGCTTTGTTTGAGAGGGAAAACGAGTGACAGGGTGTGCAGTGACCACTCCAGGCAAGGGAATTGAATCTTGGCCTCCCCAATGACTGTCTCTGCTCAGAAAGCAGAACTAACTGCTCTTAGCCCTGGACTTAAGGAAAAAGGGCAACATTTGGCATTGAAAACTTTCCCTGAAATTGGAAACCATTTTGCTGACAAATCTGCAAAAGAAGCAGCAGAAAAAGACATTCTGGCTTTAGTCCCAGAAAAGGAGGTCATGTTACCTAAAATTGCCCCAAAGTACAATAAAAAAGGACTTTCGGTGAATGGAATTGCTCAAAGCTGACTTTCAAGGTACAGGATGGGCTGTCACCCCTACAGGGCAGGTGACAGTCCCACCTATAAATATGGGAAAAAAATATGTAAAAAGAGCATGAAAGAACCCAAACACTAGCAATAAAATAACTGTAGGAGTCACAAAAGCTGGAAATCTTCCTGGAGATTATCTGCAAATAGTTTTTACTGAGTTACCCCGGAAAGAAGGATATTGGTACATTTTTAGTCCTAGTCGATACCTTTAGTGGATGGCCAGAGCTCTGTCCTTATTGCACCAATAATGCAAGAGAAGTACTGAAGGTTCTCTTAAACCGCATTATTCCCAGGTTCAGAATTCCTCTAGGAATGTCATCAGATAAAGGATCAGATTTTATTGCAGCAGTGGGACACAAGACAAGTAACATTTCCCAGGAAACCTCAAGGACATTGGTGCAGGCCCTGCCTATGGCATTGCTGAGAATTCAGGGTCAGCCTGGGAGAAGAGACTATTTAAGCCCCTATGAACTAATGGACACGTTAGGATCTACCCTGCAGAAACTCCAGAGATTCGTGGTGACACCTTGGCCAGTGGATTGGACGCCCCAGCCTATCTGTCCCTGCCTGGCCATTGGGTCCATGTCAAATGGGGGGACTCTGAGCCCCCTCAGGCAAAGGGGAAAGGCCCTTTCCAGGCTTTATTGACCCCATTTACAGCAGTTACAATTGCAAAGAAGGACCTTGGACACACTATCCTCGAGTTAAGAAAGCTCCATTTGATTGGAAAGGCGAACAGACTGAACCATGAAAATTATAATCCATGTTTGTGTATTATCTTGCATTATGATTTAATGCTGTAGCTGTTGTAGTCACTTATGGTTCAAAGTATGCTTTGAATAATGAGACATTGGCCTAATGGCCAAGTCTTAAGAAAAACAGGGGAGTGATATTTGAGTTTTGAGATGTAACAAGGACTAAGCTTCTGCAGCAGAATGTACCATAGAAACTCCACAGAGCTAATGCAAGGGATTTAAAGGTACTAACCAAGCAAAGTAATGAAACAATGAAGAAGGGAACTGAGGTAGCAGCCAAGCAATACTGAGTAACTCAGGTGAATTGTCTTAAAGAAGTTCATAAGGCGGTCACTTAGAACTCTGGGGGCTCCAGACACAGATGACCATGAGAGACTCACGATGAAGCCTCTCAGAGACCTTATAAGGATATGCATACATGCTAATAAGTGTTGGGAAATGTCATGAATACATAACAGGAATGTGGGGAATGAAAAATGAATAATCATGTAATGCTGCCATATCAGCTGCAGTGGAGACACCTCTGTGTGCACTTTGGGAACTGATTCCCAGGGCACCCGACGTGTGTGACCGTGCAGCACATCATAATAAAGAATGTCTGCTGCTAATTGGGTCCTAGAGGTTTCTTTAAGAGACAATTTTAGGCAACAGGTGGCCCCTCAGGAGCCCCCCAGTGGGGTGACACAAGGAGGACTCATGGGGGTCCAAATTCTTGATCCATCTTGCAGGCCAGTTATGCCCATCTCACCCCCAACCTCGGCCCCAACCCCTGCCCTGCATGTTCCCCTCAAAGCCCCCCTCATTTGTTGCCCATGGGCAAAGGAACTGCCCAGGGACAGAGGGAGGGGAACACCCACCCCCCAAGAGGACAGGCTGGGTTTGGAGCCAGAGAAGGGAAGAGGCCCCTCAGAAGCAGATCCTGCCAGCGGGGACAGTGCTTTGGATCAGGGCAATGTCCTCCCTTACACAACTGGCTCAGGGGGAAAACTCCCCCTGGGGAAGGACTGGGACATTCCCATGGAGCCTGGAAGTTTTCATCCCTTCTCAGGGGCCACAACTGGCTCAACCACAGATGGGAGAGGCAGGGTGATGTGTGAGAAGGGGCCTCAAACCATCAAGGACCCCCAAAGTGCCCCGTGATCCCCAGGGTTACATCAGACAGTGTAAAACTGCTCCCAGGGGAGGAACCTGGGTGTTGCTGAACCTGAACGTGTATTAACTCACTGTGTTTCAGGGGCTTCCCCCACCCCCAACTGTAAAACACCTCGACCATCACTTGGACCAAGGGACGTGGGAATTGCACCAACCAAGTCTGTGCTGGATCCTCAGGGTGAGACTGCATCTTTCTATTCTGATTCTTTCTTTTCCCTTATACATTTTCTTAAGTGTTATTTTTATGCTTTCTATCACTATAGACAGGAACCAAAACTGCTCCAAACCTGCTTTACATGGCAACCAAAGTATTCTAAACTAAACTCTACTATTTATAGTTATAACCACCAATCATTCACCGTCCTTTAACTCTAATCTGCCCCAAGGGGTCAATTAACAAGAACCTGGGTCACCCTCTTCCTCAGCGGGGGTCGGGACAGGCATTGGAGAAGGGGAAGTTTCTGGCAGCTGCTCACAGAACCCAGCCCTGGAGTCCCCCTGCTACCAAAACCTGGCAAACCCAATACACTGCCCAGCATGGATCACCTGGAATGTGGGTCAGCGGGTCTGTGCCCAGCATGGCTCCTTTGATGGTTGATGGAGTTGGAGCAGCGGACGAAGCTCTTCCTGCAATCAGGGCACTTGCAATGCTTCTCTTACTGGTGGGTCCGTTGGTGTTTGGTCAAGGTAGAGCTGTGGGAGAAGCTCTTTTCACACTCGTCACACTTGTAGGGCCTCTCCCCGCTGTGGATGTGCCGGTGCCTGATGAGGTGGGAGCTCTGGTTGAAGCTCTTCCCGCAGTCGGTGCAGCGGAAGGGCCTCTCCCCTGTGTGTGTCCGCTGATGCTTGAGGAGATTCGAGCTGGTCTGAAAGCTCTTCCCACATTCCCCACACTTGTAGGGCCGTTCCCCAGTGTGGATCTTCTGGTGGCGGATGAGGGTGGAGCTGTCACTAAAACTCTTCCTGCATTCCAAGCACGTGTAGGGCCGCTCTCCACTGTGCACCCGCTGGTGGGTGAGGAGGCTGGAAATGCGGCTGAAGCTCTTCCCACATTCACATGGATAGGGCCGTTCCCCAGTATGGATCTGCTGGTGGTGGATCAGGTGGGAACTCTGTCTGAAGCTCTTCCCACATTCCCCACACATGTAGGGCTGTTCCCCAGTGTGGATGCGCTGGTGGCTGAGGAGATTGGAGCTCTTTATGAAGCTCTTCCCACATTCCTCACACTTGTAAGGTCGTTCCCCAGTGTGGATCTTCTGGTGGGTGAGGAGGTAGGAGCTGTCACTGAAGCTTTTTCCACATTCCAAGCACTTGAAGGGTCGCTCCCCGGTGTGGATGATCTGGTGGATGATCAGGTGGGAGCTGCGGCTGAAGCTCTTCCCACATTTCCCACACTTGTAGGGCCGCTCTCCAGTGTGGATATGCTGGTGTCGTCTCAGGGTTGACCTCTCGCTGAAGCTCTTCCCACATTCCAAGCACTTGTAGGGTCGTTTCTCAGTGTGGATCTTCTGGTGTCTGCTCAGGGTGGAGTTGTCACTGAAGCTCTTCCCACATTTCCCACATGTGTATGGACGTTCTCCAGTGTGGATGTGCTGATGGGCAAGGAGGTTGGAGCTCTGTCTGAAGCACTTCCCACATTCCAAGCACTTGTAGGGCCGTTTCTCAGTGTGGATCTTCTGGTGTCTGCTCAGGGCAGAGCTGTCACTGAAGCTCTTCCCACATTTCCCACATGTGTAAGGACGTTCTCCAGTGTGGATGCGCTGGTGGGAAAGGAGGAGGGCACTCTGCCTGAAGCACTTCCCACACTCCAAACACTTGAAGGGTTTCTCCCTGGTGTGAAACTGCTCATGGACCTCCAGGTCAGAGCTCTCGATCAAGCTCTCGTCGCCTTCCCGGCGCAGGGTGGGTCTTTCCTCCTCAGAGCACCCTGGGCTGGCTTTGGAGCCCCTCCTCCTGGGGTACCTTCGTGGCTTTCCCTCCCCGCTGCCTTCCTGCGCCGTGGAGCCCTTCAAAACGGCCTCTCCCACAAGGCTCTGCCGGGGGGATTTGT